TGTTGTTTAAAAAATAACTCCGGATTAGGATTTTATAGTGAACAAGTTGTGGAATCGTTGCACTATGATTTTAATAGAATCCGTAGTAATTATAAGTTGGTAAAAAGTCACCCCAATTTTTTAAAACAATTGCCCAGCGCTGTTTGTCAATACAACTGTCTTCATATTTGAATAGTTGGCAATTGGCAACTTTTTCTTGATAAGACCAAAAGTATATTTAATTGTTGTGTAAACATTCGTAATAAACATGGTTTTAAAATTTTTTCGTTTTTTTAATTTTTCTTTATTTTTGGTCTTACAATTCATAGAATTTCATACTTTAATGTAATCTGCAAGAAAATTTTATGTTCATTTTCCTTCCATTTAAGTCGAAAAAAACACCGTGCATTAGTATGTATTATTAGATCTTGTTTCAATATTATAATTAACACTGATGTGTTAGTTTTTTGGCATTTCTTTTCGTGACACTTCATAAATTCTATTATGAATTTGAAATGAAATGTTTTTTAGAATCTATTTAGAATAGCATTTTGTGTAATTATCAAAAAAAATTCTATCGTGAAAATGAATAAAAATAAGAAAGTTAATTTTTAATTTTCGTATTTTGCTATGTATTCTTTCTTGAGCACCAAGCAGGACAATGAGAATCATGTGGAGACAGTTAACCAAGATAATGATAGTGATATTGAAGGTCAAAAATGTAAGATTGATATTTATTTAAAATTGTTGTATGAAGCTGAAGTACGACGTATTCTTAATTGTCATTTTATTCCGTTCACTGTTAGACGTCGTTATGCAACATTATCTCATTATCGCAATCAGTCGCAATATGAACATAGAGTGTTACTACGAATTTGCGATCGTTTTCAACAAATGAATGCGGCTTTTACCTTTATGTCATCTGTTTTGAGTCATTTCATCATTCCTCGTTTATCTGTCACAGGTCAGCAATCTTATTATATTTCATTTATATTACCCTTCCTACGTAAGGCAGAAATCTTTATACGTAAATATCCTTTCCGTCATGACTTTTATGAACGTCTTTTGCGACATTCGATAAAATGCACAATTAAAGAAGAGAGTAAAGATCCGTATTCAAATCTCGAAGAGGAAATGGCATTGCCATTTCAAATAACATGGGACTTTATCAAGGAACAGTTTTCTGTTTTTTCAATGTTTGTGTTGGAAAATGTTGAACTCTCCGATGATTCAAATATCGTGGAAATTCGCCAAATGTACAAAGATTTACAAAATCATGTCCCTGAATTAGAAGAGTTATTTGATAACAACCAAAGCTCCTGTTATAATGAAAATGATAATAATTGTGAGAGAAAGAAACATTTAAATAATGATGAATCGAAAGTTTTAGGCAATGAAAATGTAGTTAAAAATTCTTATGAACAGTGCAATAAAGAGAAGAAACATTTAAATAATGACGAATTGAAAGTTTTAAGCAATGAAAATATAATTAGAAATTCTTATGAACAATGTAATGAAGAGGACACAGCATACAATGTAAAATGTAATGTCAAATCAGATGATTTATACCAACTTAAAAATTTAAATAATAATGTACAACAAACTGATGTAGATAATGTGAATTATAATAGTATTGATAATAATAGTAATAATAATTATAATACAAAAACAAATAATGTAATTATTCATCAAGAGACAAAAGAAAGCATAAACATTTCCAATATTGGCGATAATGAATCCTTTTCGATAGATCTATTGAATAATGATTATTTGACATTAGAACGTTTGAAGAAATTTGTTTTGTTATCGCCCTATATTTACGAGATTTATGATTTTCCATGTTTCATTAATCAATTAATCGAGTCGTCGTCCTCCTGTGGGTCCTCACTCAGAAAAGAGGATGATGATTATATTTAACCACTTTATATTTAAATATGGTTGATAATTAGGGGAATGCCTCCATAGGTGGACCTATTCCATGAGTAGACCACCTTTCTGATTTATATGAAACCAAAGGCAAAATGTTTTAATAATTATATATAATTTCACTAAAACATATTGAATATGATTCCGAAGTGTATACACTCCTTTTTGCCTTTATAATATCCACATGAAAAAAATTATGTTCAAAAAATTCGTAAAAGTTTTGTAGTCATCTTTTCGAGGATGACTACTTTAAAAAACTTGACAATTATCTCTTTTTCATGGGCAATATAATTTTTCTTGTCATTTATATATTCATCTCACTTGTTATTCAAAAAGTGAAAACTTTTTTCATTTCTCACGTTTGTAAGAATAAAATTAATAAAATTTGACAAATATTTTTTTAATTGCACATAAAATTTTTATAATTTACATATATTACATCAACATTAAAATTTTATAATGTGGCCACTCATAAATTAGGGGCAGTGGCCCGTACTGTGTTACAAGCTGAAATTATGGCGATATTTTATGGTATTGTTGAGGCTTTAGAAATTTGTCAAGATAAAAATATTTTTATCCTTTTGGATAAAAATATTTTTTGGATAACCCTTCTTTGGGTTCCTGGGCACAGTGGATTCATTTGGTAATGAAAGCTGTGGTTACTTTTTAAGAATTGTGAATTAAATTAATTTTGATAACCCAAATATTAATTAGAATGGTTCTAGTAATAGTTTGTGACCAGTACACAATTTTTGTACTAACAATTGTTAGTAAACAGAAGATAAAGTTCGCTCAAAAAATAATTTTTCATCTTCTGCTGATTATCGGCTGTGGTTACTTTTTATGATTTGTGCATTATAATAATTTTTAGAGCTAAAGCTGTGTTATTAGGCCAGACATTTTTTTAATTTTTGACTGAAATTTCATAAATATTGACCTGGAAAGACCAAGAAGAAGCCTGGAATTTTATATTTATCATTTTGTGACAACCAGGTCCTTTGAACCGCATTATAAATTAAATAAATTAGAATGGAGAGTCAGCAGAATTGTAGCATATTGGTACATTTGGATCGAAAAACAATTTATGCCTGGAAAAATCAACTTAGACAAATATAGAATTCCTGATAATAATATTATCCTGTCTGATTCATCCTATAATATTCCACGAAGGGTTGATTTATTATTGGGTTGAACAATATTCTGGGAGCTGCTGTGTGCGCTTAACAAGTAAAATTGGAAACTAATCAACCATTGCTGGATTACAGCAGACAATCTTGAATGAAAAAATGGGGAAGTTTTGGCAAATAGAAGAATGTCCTGACACCATTCATTTGTCAACAGAAGAGAAAGCATGTGATCAGAATTTCATTGCAACTTACCAGACGGATGAATCAGGAAGATCATTGGTTTCTCTACCACTTCCTGATAATGTAGCTGAATTGGGCGAATCTTGGGACAAAGCCTTTCGACGATTATGTAGTATAGAAAAAAGGTTAAATAAATTTCCTGAGCGTCGATAGCAATATGTAAAATTCATGAGAGAATATGAAAAGTTGAATCATGTCATTAGTATTGGATGCAGAACAGTAGATCGTAAAAAATTATTTGCCGCATCATGCAATTATCAAGGATTATAGTAAAACGACGATACTTAGAGTCGTTTTTGTTGCATCATGCAAAACGTCATCAGGAAAATCACTCAATCAACGGATCAATTTGGAAATGTGGACGTACACCTACTTCGTGACAGATCACATGTTTCGCCTCTGAAGAGTATCAGTATTGCGAAATTGTAACTGTGGGGAGCAACACTTTTAGTTAAACTGAGCAAACGAGTTCAGGAAGAACTCAACTTACAACTTCATGAGATTTATTATTGGAGCGATTCACCAATAACATTAGCTTGGATCAACGGTGAACCATCTCGGTGGAAGATTTTTCTCAGTAATCGAGTATCGATAATTCAAAATGATACAAAAAAGACAGCAGAAACATGTCAGATCAGAGGATAATCCAGCGGATCTTATATCCTGAGGAATATCAGCAGACACACCGGCAGCATCATCACTCTAGTGGTTCGGCCCTGATTAGCTCAAAATGGAATCATCCAGATGACCATCTAGAGAAATAACTCCAACAGAAGCAAGAGATGTTCCAGAAGATAGAAAAGGTGCAATCTCGTTGAAAACAGCCTTCAATTTTGATATTTTTTCGAGATCATCATCATGGACTGAGTTGAGAAGAATTGTGGGATACTGCAAAAAATTTGCAGAAAATTATCGTTTATCAAAATCAGGTCGGGAAAGGTTGACGGGACCATTGAAGGTAGAAGAGCAAGAACGAGCATCTGAGTCTAATAATGCAGTGCCAGAAGCAACAATTTGAGAACAAAATCATCCAATTGGGAAGAGCATTAGTGGTGAGTCCTTAAAGCAGATTATCGGATCTTTATCCATTTTTGGACGTTAATGGGCTTCTCAGGCTGGGGAGAAGATAAAGAATATGACAATATTATTTTTTTATTTCTAAATAACACTTGGAATTGTGTTTAAAAATTGTAATTGAGAAATAGAAATGGTGCAAATTATTTTTTTTCAAAGAAAAACAGAATTTTTAAAAGTGTATGAGGCGTGTGTAAATTTTTAAACGCGATATTCTCAAAAACATCAAGATAGCATCAAATTTTTCTAAAATCCTTGTAATTTCAGCTTGTGAAATATAGTAGTCTACAGAGGGGAATTGACGAATGTTCCAGTCTTTTCTCTTTATTTCGTGATAATATGAAAATTTCTACTTATGCTATCTATGATTTGAGGTAAAGAATACATTAAAACTTAAATGTAGAAAATATTTTATCAGAGTTCATCACGCGTCAGTACATACTGCATTTCATCCTCAGTGGACAAGTGATATAGATGAAATTAAGTCGCGCGCGAGTCATAACACGTATTTAAAGTCTGTATTTTAACTAAAGAGGGGATTATTAAATCATTTTTAGAGAATTATTTTTAATTTGCTAGATATGAAGATCTATTTGTATTGAATTAATAAGGGAATAAAAGCGTTTTATTGTAAATAAATGTCTACAAATTTTCTATTTTTTTTGTTTTTATTTATAGTTAAAATTTAAATATAAAATATAGAAATATAGAAAACTATCGATGTGTAATGACCATTACATTTTCTATTTTCTGTTTTTATAAACATAGGTAATGGTTCCACTATTATTAAAAATATATTTTCACATTCACCATATATATATGCAATCACATGCATATATTTATATTAAAATTTTTCTTTGGCCTTTTTATTATTTATCATCACTTGGAGTTGAAAGTGGATCAATTCCGAATTTCTTCATTTGCACGGCTATGTCAAAGAGATAATCATAACATTCTGTCCTGTTAAAAAATAAATGAATTAAAATTATTTTTAAATTAAATATTGTTGACATTTTTAGAATTAAACATTAATTTACATTGTTTTGGCTTCTTGCCAAGTATCGCCCCAAACATAGACACCATGTCTGCGTACCAATACAGCACAAGTCTCAGGATATTTATGAATCACCTCAGCTAAAGAATCTGTCAAATCTTTTTCAAATGGAGTATTCTCAATAATAGGCACTACAAGTTCTTCATCGTACCTTAAGGCTCGACCAAGTTTTTGATTCTTTATACCTTTAAAAAGGAATTAAAATTCATGTACTCTATTTTACGCAAAATACTTTCTTATGAACCACCCGTGCATCGTAAGAAGTGAAAGGGTTAAAAAGATAATCTTAACAATTGAAAGACCAAATAAGTTTAGGAGAAAATTCCAAAAATCGTTAAATTTGAATACAATAACATTTATAATTTAGATAATAATATATTTTTCATTCACTCATACTGATAAATAGTTCTATATTAATTTCTACCTTTTATCATTTCCAAATGAGTAACACGGAATTCTTTTCCAGGCCACAAAAGTGTCACCATTACAGCAAATTTTGAATGGGTGTGAATTACAGCTCCTGCATTTCTTAGTCTGTAAGCGTTCATAAAAAGAGGAGTGCATTGTGATTTCTTTAATTTTTTCTCAACTGGTGGTAGTTCCAAATCCTGTCCTTCCATATTTTGAACAAAAATTTCATCCGGGCACATTCTTTCCTTTTGTACACCTGATGGTGCAATATAAATCTTGTTTCTAAAATTATAAACAAAATATTAAAAAAGTTGTATCTTTAAGACAACTTCTTTCTTAGTAGATTTTGAGCCAATTAATTCAAATCTATAATGGATATTAATAATATGAACGGAAGGCTAAAATCACGAATTACTTCTCGAGATACGTGTACAAGCAAATAAAACATTAATAAATTAAATTTGTACAGAACACAACGTGATTCTGTTTTTCTCGCCAATATATTTTCGACCACTGACTCTTTCCAATATACGCTCACGATATAGTTGAAATTAGATAATACTCTCACATATGTCAATATCATAATTACCCGATATAATCTAATGTCAGGCGCCTAAATTACAAAGATACATTTTCATTCCCTCTCTCAACTCAAAGTATGAAAAATATTACAAAAAAAATTCTTCAAAATATGTACGAAAGACCTGTACAGCCTCCTTAAGAGTAAAATTTTATTACTTACTCATGTTTTATTGAGATTCCACCACCTGTACCAGTAACCCATTGTAAATCATAAAATTGCCTGCATAACTGAGGTATTAAATTCCGAGGGTGTTCCTATAAATAAGTTTTATTCATGAAAAACTTTAAATTAAAGACTGAAATAATGTAGTTTCAATTTCGCAAAGTGTGCCAAAAGTAGCACATAATTTAAGTTTAATATAATGTGGGATTAGAACTAGTGTACGAAAAGCGAAATTTCACAGTTGAAGGAAAAGAAATTCCAAGTTTGTAAAACAATTTTTCTTTAAACTCTTGATATTTTCGATGGCTGGATTAGAACTAGTGTACGCAAAGCGAATCATAATATGGAATTGTATCTCCTGATAGACGAAAAAAAATCCTAGACGTCCGATGCCTGTTAATCTCGAATTAAAAGAAAGTATTAGAAAGCACATCGATATCATTCCTCCGAATTTCTAGTCATTACTGTATGTAAAATTCTTCCAAGGCGTATCTCACTGAAGAAATTCAATCCGTCACTAAAATGTACGATTTGTATGTAGATTAGATGAAAGAATTCTTTCCGGATCAAGAAATTGCAACAATACGACAGTATAGAGATATTTTCAATTCGGAATTCAACATTTAATGGTGTTCCGCAGTGATCGCCTTTTAAAAATGGCTGCTCAAATGTAAACTTGATTTGAAAATGATTTTTCTCCCAATTCGGGCAGTTATTGCAAAATCGGAGAAAATACAAGATATCCTGAATATTTTATCTTTCATTTGCGCGCAAGAAGTAAAAGATTTGTTTAGATTTACAACGACAGGAAGTAAAATAGGAAAAAGTTAAACAAATGCGCGATACATAAAATTGCCACCAGAGGGCAGCACCTAATGGGCACATCTAATTTTCCTATTTTACTTCCTGTCGTTGTAAATCTAAACAAATCTTTTACTTCTTGCGCGCAAATGAAAGATAAAATATTCAGGATATCTTGTATTTTCTCCGATTTTGCAATAACTGCCCGAATTGGGAGAAAAATCATTTTCAAATCAAGTATACATTTGAGCAGCCATTTTTAAAAGACGATCACTGTTTGAAATTGCGCAACACCGTTAAGCTTATTTATTGCGAAGAAGGATCAGTGTGACGATGTGTTAAGTATAAAAATGCGAGCGAAGAAGAAAAAGAAGTTCTACAGGATGTTTTCTTAGTTATGCGATGCTCCTGACAGCGTTATTAAGTACAATTCATATAATATTCTACAGAAATTCGAAAAAAATGTAATTAAGGGCTTAAATTTAATACGTGATGTATATGATGGTAAGTTGTATAAAAAGTTGATTAAACTTTCAGATGATCAGGACATTACTTCGTCATTTACAATCACATTATGCTTTAATACTGATGGTGCTCCAATTTTCCACAGCTCTAAGAAATCCTTTTGGCCCTTGCAATGTTAAATAATGAACTTCCACCTGAAATTAGATTTAAGTATCCACTTCTCTGTCCATTAAATATGGATAGCCGAGAACCTTCACCAATACAAATGCAATATTTTATGCACAAATTTGTAGATCAGACACTGCCTTTAATGAATGAAGGTTTTTATTGTAAGAACTTGAACGACCAAGATATTAAAGTAAAAGTTGTACCTTTATTATGTGTAGACCCGATTCAAAATCGGGTTCAATTTTATGGATATTGTAGTTGCAGTTGGTGTTATTCAATGGGAGAGCATAAAGAAAACTGTACGATATCCGATATTGAAGGAAGAAGATGATGCTATTAAAAAAATGCAACTCATAATGTCGACGCAAATGAAGCTTTAAAATTAGGAAAATGGAGAAATGGAGTGAAGGGTATTAGCAGTAGAATGACGTTAATGACATTCAATATGGTCTAGGAATTTTCCTGCGAATATATGCATGGTGCCTTAATTGGTGTTGTTAAACAACTGTTTCAAATAAGTACTGAAAGTACTTCTTCGTGTCACTTTACTAAGAACCAACGACAAAAATTAGACGAAATACTTTTTAATATAACACCATCCCAGGTGCGAATTTAGGTTGGCCGCCAGAGTTTGAAGGTTGGCCCAAGGTTGGCCTAACTTTGGCAAGCAAAGTTTTGGTTGCCAGAGTTTGCCCAACTTTGGCAAGTACTTGTGCCCACAGTTGGCCCGACTTTGCAAGCCAACCATTAAATGCAGAGTTTAACCAACCGTCGGGCCAACTTTGGCGACAAAGGTTGGCACAACTTATCCAAACGTAGTTTAAAAGACTTTCAGTTTCGGTTGGCCGAACTCTGGGCCACGGTTGGCCCAACGGTTGGCAAAACTCTGTGAAACGCTGTTTAATTGACTTGATTTTTCTTGGTTGGCCGAACTCTGGGCAACGGTTGGCAAAACTCTAGAAACGCAGTTTAAATGACTTAAACTTTCTTGGTTGGCCGAACTCTGGGCCACGGTTGGCCCAACGGTTGGCAAAACTCTGTGAAACGCAGTTTAATTGACTTAAACTTTCTTGGTTGGCCGAACTCTGGGCCACGGTTGGCCCAACGGTTGGCAAAACTCTAGAAACGCAGTTTCATTGACTTAAACTTTCTTGGTCGGCCGAACTTTGGGCCACGGTTGGCCCGACGGTGGGCAAAACTTTGTGAAACGCAGTTTAATTGACTTGATTTTTCTTGGTTGGCCGAACTCTGGGCCACGGTTGGCCCAACGGTTGGCAAAACTCTAGAAACGCAGTTTAATTGACTTAAACTTTCTTGGTTGGCCGAACTCTGGGCCACGGTTGGCCCGACGGTGGGCAAAACTTTGTGAAACACAGTTTAATTGACTTAAACTTTCTTGGTTGTCCGAACTCTGGGCCACGGTTGGCCCAACGGTTGGCAAAACTCTAGAAACGCAGTTTCATTGACTTAAACTTTCTTGGTCGGCCGAACTTTGGGCCACGGTTGGCCCGACGGTGGGCAAAACTTTGTGAAACGCAGTTTAATTGACTTGATTTTTCTTGGTTGGCCGAACTCTGGGCCACGGTTGGCCCAACGGTTGGCAAAACTTTGTCAAATGCGGTTTAAATGACTTAAACTTTCTTGGTTGGCCGAACTCTGGGCCACGGTTGGCCCGACTGTTGCAGCTTAAATATACATTTTGCGTTATGCACTCCCATGTGAGCGTAGCGTAGTGGTCAGTGTATAAGTCTTCGGTGCGTTAGGTTAGGGGTTCGATCCCAGCGAGCGATAGATATTTTCGAAAATGTATGTATGAGATTGTGTTTAATAATAATAGGTAAAGGTTATATCTGATGTTCCCGCTAATAATAACGTGTTAATTGTTTAAATAATGTAGTTTTTTAATAATTTTTTGCCTTTGGCTGTTGAAGTTGGCCAAACTTTGAAAATTGTGGTTGGCCCAACTTACGCATCTAAAGTTGTGCCAACTTTAGCGTCAGTCTTTGGACCAACTATAGAAATGTATAGTTGGCACAACATATGCATTGTAAGTTGGGCCAACTTCCTTATGAGTTGTCGGGCCAACCATCGTCGCCATTAGACGGTCGCCGTTATCATCTGTATGGTTGGCCCAACCTTTGGCACGAGAAGTTGGACCGACTTTGTAAAAGTTGGCCCAACTATGGGCCGACCAAAAAATCGCACCTGGGATCTTATGAAATCCACCGTTTACCTAGGTCTTTTTCAGCTAAAGCAAAATGAAAGGCTTCTGAATGGCAAGCTTGGTTGTTATTCTATTGTCTACCGTGTTTAGAATGCGTTTTGCCAGACAGTGACTTACAAACTGATAAAAACAGGTATTAACATTATTAAACATATACTTCATTGTTGGTACAATCAAATATTCGTTCTTATTCTTAAAAAATCGATAACTTCGACAGAGTTGCAACAATGTGAATATGAACTCTTAAAATTTGGTGGAGAATTCGAATTATTGTATGTACGGTATAGACAATATGACATTTACTGTTCACACACTTCTTCATTTAGTCAAATCTGTTGAAATTTTAGGACCCCTATGGGCCACACTAGCGTACCCATTCGAAAATGGATTTTTTTTAACCCCTTAAGAGAACACGGGAAGGACAGATTTTTATCAATTATTCAAGGTGACTGTTCTCTCTGTTAACGTATGGCAAAAATTTGACCAAAACCATTCCTAAAGCCTTTTTTCGTACTCTCTCAGAATCCGACATTTAAATTACAGAAAAATAAAATTTGTAAAAGTGTGGCCATTTTTTACAAAAAACACGAAATTTTTACAGTTTTTTGTAAAAGAAATATTTTTTTCGAAGACTGCAAGTTAAAATAAAAGGTTCTAACCTAGAAATATCGCGTTCGCAATACCCGAACTTTCCAAATATGAAACGTTTTTTAAAAAATTTCCAGATGGCGGTTTTAAAATGGCGGTGGAAGGAATTTTTGTAAATTAATAATTCATAATTTTATGTACGAAAACAAAACAAAAATTTTGATTTCTTTGTCACTTATCATCCGGATTTTTTGGGGTCGCTGATTACAAATCTGATGTCCGTTTTTCTAAATTCAAAATGGCGGCTCCAATATGGCGGATGAAAAATTTGAAAATTTATCAGATTGGCATAAAAATCCTAATTCAGTGTTTTTTTGGGTCGCTGATTTCAAATCTGATGTCGGTTTTTAAGAATTCAAAATGGCGGATCCAATATGGCGGACGAAAAATTAAAAAATTTATCGGATTGTCATAAAAATCATAATTTAGGGGTTTTTTGGGTCGCTGATTAAAAATCTGGTATCCGTTTTTCGAAATTCAAAATGGGAGATCCAATACGGCGGATAAAGTATTTAAAAATTTATCGGATTGGAAAGAAATATGTATCTCGGGGGTTTCTGCGGTCGTCAATTACTAATCTGATATTGCGGGATTTAAAAATTTTTGGTTTTACAAGTGACATATCTGTGAACTGAAATTTTTTTTCTTTTGTTATTAACAGAAGGTCGATTTTCAGTTGGTCATTAAAGTGTGCGACGTACAATTGTGTTCTCCAGCAATTAGTGCAAAAAATTATCTACTTTTTCTTTTTTTCTCATTGTAAAAGTTATCGTTGTTTACATAAGTTATTCATCGAATTCAATCGGGTAAGTAGCCTTTATTATAGTATCAGACCTAATATTAAAAAATTTAAAGAGACTGTTTCACATTGTTCGTAGGTGTTATGACCACGTTATTTCTCGTCAAATTATGCTTGTGGACAGAAGTGGGCCATTTTCTGTAAACAGAAGTGGGCCACTGCATTGACGTTCCGTTTCGAGATTTAGTGATTTTGAATAAACTAATAAAGTGGTTCTATGAATTAATTTGTATTATTTAGCAATCATGACACCAAGAAAGGCTAAACCGACTGACTATGAGCTCATTGTCTATAACAAATTACTTTATACTATAAATCAAATAAAAATTAATAAAACTTCGAAACGGACTGCTTGTGTTTGGTTTATTATTATTTGGTTTATTTATTGAAAAAATTAATCATTTAACATAAACAATCATAGTGCTTGATCCTTTAAAAATAATTACTTTTTAATATCCTGATCAAAAATTATTACAGACAATTCTGACCGGGGCCAGATTTCTCATATGATTGTGCGGAGTCCTTTGTGTTTACCTAAAGTTAGGTAACCCCTTTCTTTACAAATCAGGGGCGTAGCCAAAAAAAATTTTCGGGGGGGGGGTTATGGAATTTGATAAGAGGTGTACTCAAAATAAAATTAGAAATTTAGGCTTTAACATATATGTTTTTCCAAAATTTCGGGGGGGGGGGGGTGATACCCTAAACCCCCCTGGATACGCCCCTGCTACAAATAAACGCAATAAATGTTTAAAAATGTTAATTTCTGAATAATCTAAAGCATGAAAACCAAAGTGTGGCCCACTTCTGTCGGTACTACTCTATATAATAAACTGGATGTTTATGTGAGTTTTAATGCTGCCTGCCCGCGCAGGCAGTATGAAGTTGACCAGTTATGAATATATATTATATTATTTTTAGTCTACTTTAATTTTCATACATATATTTGTTGTTCATATATATTTTTTCTTACAGTTAAACCTTTACAATAAAAAGTTTTAATCAATTGATTATTTTTAAAGTTGTCGAAAAATGAATTCTTGAATATTATAATATTTCATGAAGTTAGTCTTAGTATAATAAGCAAGAAAAAATAGTAAAATTGTTACAAAGAAAGATTTAATAATAAATGTCTAATTGAAATAATTAAATACAAATATAAAAAAATATTTATTGTGCAATTATATAATATTCCCTACTAAAAATTTATACGTGAGTACAAAATATAACAAATTTTTTTTAAGGTTTCAGGCTTTTGAACATTTTTTCTAAAAAGAAGCATAAAATATTTTACAAAAAAAATAAACGCTCGCGTCAACACGTAAATTGTTGCCGGTTATCATTATAATTATAAATGACAAAAGAACAACAAATTTTTTAATGTATAAAAAATGCAGTATATACTAAAGATTAATTGTGGGCCCCTCGAACTATTTTGTCTAGGGCCCCTTAATTCGTTGTTACGCCACTGGCGACCCAAAAAATCCCTGAATTATGACTTTTATGCCAATCAGATAAATTTTTTCATTTTTCGTCCGCCATATTGGATCATGCCATTTTAAATTATTGAAAACTGACATCAGATTCGTAATCAGCGACCCAAAAAACCCCAAAATTTAGATTTTTATGGCAATCCGAAAATTTTTTTAAATTTTTGTCCTCCATATTAGAGCCGCCATATTGAATTTCGAAAAACGGACATCAGATTTGTAATCAGCGACCAACATAAAATTATAAATTAATTTACAAAAATTTCTTCCACCGACATTTTACAACCGCCATCTTGAAATTTTTTAAAAAACGTTTCATATTTGGAAAGCTTGGGTATTGCGGACGCGATATTTCTAGGTTGGTACCTCTTATTTTAACTTGCAGCCTTCGAAAAAAATATTTCTTTTACGAAAAACTGTAAAAATTTTGAATAACCAGTTTCAAGCGAATTCGATTAATTTTGAATAAATTTCCGCCATCTTGGATCCACCATTTTGAATTTCGAAAAACTGATCTCAGATTCATAATTAGCGATCCCGAAAAGACCGGAATAACAAGTTTCTTGCGAATTCATTTTCTTTTATTAAATTCATCCGCCATATTGGATTTTTTAAATCTAATGTTAGATTCGTAATCAGCGCCCCTGAAAACCCCCGAGTAACAAATTTCACGTGATATGAATGAAATACAGCTTATACGGTATCTACTTCATCCTCAGTGACGTCAACACGGAACGCGTAGAAGTTTCCCTAATTTTGCCAATCTAGTATACCTTAATTCCCTGTCGCTACTACTTATTTTACGTCAAAAAAATATAGCAATATATCATATTTTGCAATGTAAAAAAATAACTTTAAAATTTTCTACGATTAATGGAATCCTTTCTCCATTATGACATATTTTTAATATGTTTCAAAAAAATTCTTTATTAGTAAAACTGAAACACGTACCTTAGAATAATTTTTGTCGTAGTAATCCATTATCTTCTATGGTTTTTAGATGATTTACTGTTGCTTATTCTTTAGGAATAATAAAGCAGTGATATCAGAATGATCAATTATAGTGACAGTGTAAACTTATCAGATTAATTACACTCTTGAATTAAAAATCCGAAAATGCAAAAGATGTTTGCAAGCTTAATATCAAAGCACGTTATAACAAGCAACTTGAAAATCTCTAACTGGTACATTTTCGATTTATCGATTAATGAGATATCGAAACGAGAAATGGTAGGTGCTCAATTTAAGATAAATTATCTTACCGAAAAGTAAAGGTGCTTCTATACCTCCGGTGGATTGGTCAAGCAATCGGCTCGATGAATTTTCACGGTCGGAAAATGTACTTTCATGGCGGGTATTTTTGAATAAGTAAATGTTGAAAAGGTTTTTACTTGAAAATTTATTTAAAAAAATGATTTTATCATAGAAATTCTTTTGAAATTTATGTTAAAAAACATGTTTTATTTTAAAAGTTATCAAATTTTAATTCAAAATGTTTTAATTTTCCAAAGAAGTGTAAAAAGCCTAATGTTTTTGAAATGCTAGTACAGACGGTACAGACTGTTTGTTATGAATGTACATAACCTAGCGTTGTGTTGTCTGTTCATTATTATTTAATATAATTAAATCATTAAATTTAGAATATAATAATAATATCACAAGCACGACAACACAACGCTAGGTTATGTACATTCATAACAAACCGTCTGTACCGTCTGTACTAGCATTTCAAAAACATTAGGCTTTTTACACTTCTTTGGAAAATTAAAACATTTTGAATTAAAATTTGATAACTTTTAAAATAAAAAATGTTTTTTAACATAAATTTCAAAAGAATTTCTATGATAAAATCATTTTTTAAAATAAATTTTCAAGTAAAAACCTTTTCAACATTTACTTATTCAAAAATACCCGCCATGAAAGTACATTTTCCGACCGTGAAAATTCATCGAGCCGATTGCTTGACCAATCCACCGGAGGTATAGAAGCACCTTAAGAAGATGTTCGAAGTAAGTACACTCAGATGCTTTAAGGCCAACGCAGAATAGATCTGTAACCGGAACCGCAATCGTAAGCGTAACCGTAAGAATGAGTTAAAGAAGGATAGGTATATTGTTTATCCTTCTCTAACTCATTCTTACGCTTACGGTTACGATTGCGGTTCCGGTTACAGATCTATTCTGCGTTGGTCTTTAGGGAGCATTTACACCTTCTGTAAAAATTTCCAGAACGGGAAATTTACATTGGAGTAAGAGAGACAGACTGTATATCTGTCTCTCTTACTACAATGTAAATTTCCCGTTCTGGAAATTCCCGGTTTGACGGAATCGGCCCATCTCGGGACTTTTAGGAAATTTTTCTGTATATTATAAGGTATAAATAAATAAAGAAAAAATTAAAATTAATCACACCAAAATTTAAAAAAATAATTTTTTAAAAATTAAAAATAAACAAAAATAATTTTTTTACATTACTTCAGTTGAAGAAAACCCAAAATTTTCTTTCTTTGACAACTTTTTTTAAACTCAATACTTTCAAGCTTATAAGCTTCTGAAAATAGGTCTTACTTACAAAAACCAAAATTTTGAAAATTCATAACTCGAAAATTTGGGCAATTATAAAAAAATAAAAAAAATATGTATTTAATATTTTTCTATAAAGAACGAGAAAAAAATATGTTTAACCGATTTGAAAATGTCAGAAAAATTTTACGTTGAATTGCCCATAATATGTAAATAAAAAAAGTAAAATCACATATTTTTTATCTTATAAAAATTTCATTTACATTTATAAAATAATATGCGTAACTTAGTACAATTAAAATTTTTTATACTTAAGAATATAGACGCATATATAAATAAATAATAAAGAATAATATTGTTTAAATTAATGCATTTTTAAATTTTTAAAATGAATAAATATATATATATATGGGCAATTCAAAAAATGTCTACAGACTAAAATTTTTAATCGATTCGAGTGTTTTTTGTTTTAAATAAAAGGAGAACAATTTCTGAAGATATCCCTCCATGCAAACCTAAGAATCTTCAATTGTTTATAATTTTTTTTTAAAACAAAAAGTTAACAAATTAATTGTGTTGTTTCCTTTAAAAATGAAAGATTATTTTCTTATTTTGCTACTACACATGTCCTAAATCAGATTCAATTAATATAATATATGACGACCAGATAAATAGTAAAACATAAAATAATTAATTTAAACTGTTATAAACAATATTAGTTAACAAATAGTTAACTTTGGTTCCTCTGCACCAAAAAGAATTTTTTTCATAGTTTTCATTGAAGTTAATTGCAAAGAATGTTTGTGTCAAAATAAAACAATAAACATTTTAATGTAAAATATATATTAATTGCATTTATTTTATTTTAATTAATTTTTTTATTTTAATTTTCAAAAACACAAGGAAAGAAAAAAAAACATTTAATACAAATTTATATATGGGTGATTCTCCTGAAAGGGACCCTTTTTTGGTTGAATTTCCAAAAAATCAAATTATTCTTTTTTTGTTACTTTTCTTTCATAAATAAGTTTAGAAAATGTTTAAAGATAAAAATATAAGTTGCGCAAAATTAATTTTCAGAAATAAGACCTCCAGGAACATTTTACTATCATGTGTTCTAGAGGTTAAGTATAATTAATTATAACTTTTAAATTAATTATTTTGTAAAGAAAACTCGGTAGGAATATTTTTTTTAAATAATAAATTGTTATGTTTTAATTTATTGCACTTTTTGCTTGTATATTTTATTTTTATTAAATTAATAATTTAATTTGAGGGTTAAATATTTCAAAACAATGATTAAAAAATTAAAAACAAAAGAAAACGCCTATCAAATATAAAAAAGGCTTCGGAGATGAATTGATAATTTAATGAAAAAATTCTCATTTTTTCTAATTTTAAAAATATTACAATTTTTTAAACAATATTTTTAGTTTTAATCATCAAATATTTTCACATCGATTACATATTATGTTTAAAACGTTAAAAAATATGATGTTATTATATAGAAAATGAGGCTTCGGAGATGAATTTAATTTTTACTCTCATTGATAATACTATTTTAATTAATAATTTAAATAACTTTTTTTACCTTATTTTAAACAAATGTAAGTAAAAAATAATCCTTATATTCTAAACTTTAATTTGATATATATCATAAATATGTTGAAATTGTTTAAATACGTTAAAATATAATTATAAAATATACATTCTGTTTAACCAAAATTCGATGACAAAATTTAATATGTTTTTTAAATAGGAAGAAATTTAAATATAAGCAATAGAAGATTATATAAAGATAGATAAATCTTCGTAGATTATAAATAAATTTTTCAAAAAATTTAAACTTGATAAAATATTAATGAAAAATTAATTTAAATAATGAACCTCATGTTGGAGACACGTGAAGTGGTCCCTTTCAGGAGAATCACCCATATATTAAATTGTTTATAGTTATTGAACAAACTATTTCATACGTTCACTATTTTTTAACATATATTCTTTGTAATAAACTTCAATGAAAACTATGAAAAAAATTCTTTTTGGTGCAAAGGAACCAAAGTTCATTATTTGTTAACTATTATTGTTTATAACAATTAAAAATTGTTTTTTAACGAAAGGGAGATGTATTCATTAAATGAACCTAAAGTACAATATAAATATGAAAGAACAAAGTTTTTTTATAGAGAGGAACCAAAGTTAACTATTTGTTAACTAATATTGTTTATAACAGTTTAAATTAATTATTTTATGTCTTACTATTTATTTGGTGGTCATATATTATATATTAATTGAATCTGATTTAGGACATGTGTAGTAGCAAAATAAGAAAATAATCTTTCATTTTTAAAGGAAACTACGCAATTAATTTGTTAAATTTTTGTTTAAAAAAAAAATTATAAACAATTGAAGATTCTTAGGTTTGCATGGAGGGATATCTTCAGAAATTGTTCTCCTTTTATTTAAAACAAAAAACACTCGAATCGATTAAAAATTTTAGTCTGTAGACATTTTCTGAGAAGTAAATTGAAAAAAAATTCCATTGTGAGGCGTTTCGTAGAACACGAGCACCTAGCACGTGATTTTTGAAAATTTTGTACAACTCATTAAACGCGTCGGCCCACTCCAAAACTTTTTGGAAAATCTTCTGTATATTATAAGGTATAAATAAATTAAAAAAAAAAGGGGTCCAAAGTTAAAAAAAATTAATTTGTTTATAAAAAAAAAATTTTTTTTTACATTTCTTAAGAGTTGAAAGAAAACTAAAACTTTCATTCCTTGACAAGTTTTTTCTAAACTCAATATTTTCAGACTTATATAAGCTACTGAAAATATGTCTACAGTTACAAATCCAAAATTTCGAAAATTCATAACTCGAAAATTTGGACGATTAAACAAAAATAAAAAACCACGTATTTCTTTTTTTTCCATATAGATTGAGAAAAAATATGTTTAACCGAATTTTCAAGGTCATAGGTAAATCTTGCGTGGAATTGCCCATATGTATTTAAATTGGGGACAAAACTGCAAAATTTACAAAAGAATTTAATTGTTTGTGTTTTTGTCTAGAATGCTTTTAAAATATTTCCACACTACACTCTTTGGTTTTGTCATTTTTTAAATCTTTAAATATATAAATTTTTAAATATATATAATGTAACTATAATAAATAAAATAACAACTACTAAATATAAACACAACGCCGGACCATCGCATTTACCGAAAGGGAAATGACAAAAGTAAGGTTGTGTTACATTCTCTTAAATTCCGGAGAATTTAAAGGCCTAAACACAACTGCTTCGCGAATGTTGTTCGCAAACGCAAAGCATGAGTTAGAAAAGAACAGAGATATATTTGTGTCCTTTTCTCACTCATGCTTGTTCGCGAAGCAGTGTGCTTAGGCCTTGTGCATTGACCTTTAGTAATTGACTTAGGGTGCGATCCCATGTGAGCAGAATACGTCGACCGAAAGCAGAAAATCATGAGAGTGAAAAGAACAACAATATCTACTTATCTCTTTTGCACTCATGATTTTCTGCTTTCGGTCGACGTATTCTGCTCACATGGGATCGCACCCTTAAAATAAAATTCCCTATTTGAATAGTAACTTTTAAATTTATTTAAATTCCCTAAGTTGCTAAAGACTACACTAGATGTGAGTGACGTCAAACTTTGATTTCGGAAAATTATTGTGTTTAGGCATTAATATAGCTAAAACAAAAACCACCTAAAGAAAGTCAAAATGTCGATAACAGTGGATGAACTAAATTCAGCTACGATGAATGAAGAAAAAGATTCTTTGTAAGTTAAAAAAACATAATGAATTACATATAAATACAATAAGTTTTGTCTGTCCTAAGAAATAATTTTATTGCCATTGACTTTTGTTCTTCACTGAACATGAGAAATAACCTATATAAAATTTTATTTTATTCACGATACAATTTCTAATAACAAAATGATCTATTTTAAATAATTTAAATATTAACTTATCTAAACAATGTTAAATTTTCCATTACAGAATGGCTCGAATTAATTATAATTGGCGAGATATTACAGAGGATTTTTTCGATTCTATTAAAGGTAATTTAAGGTTATATTACCATCAATATTTATATTTATAGTTTCTTATTTTCACTTTTATTGTACCTTTCATTTTTTGTTGCAATAAATCAGGGTGGCCGCAAGTCAGGGAAAAACTGGAAATCAGGGAAAAGTCAGGGAAAAGTCAGGGAGAAGTCAGGGAATTTGTAAAAATTCTTTAAAAGTCAGGGAATTTTGATTGAAAAAAACCACAAATTAAAAATCTTTGATAATTAAATGTCAATTAAGTTTTTTATTTAGACGTTTTTGTAATACAGCTCATTATAATGGTGCCCTCACATTTTTTATAAGTGGACATTTCATTTTAGAATATTAAATAATTCAAAAATTTGTTAGTCAGGGAAAATCAAAAATTAGTCAGGGAAAAGTCAGGAAATTTTGAAAATACAATTTTGCGGCCACCCTGAATAAATACATCGTTTTCTGTTATATTGAAAATTAATTTTGCATAAGAATTTTTATATTTTGTCAAAACTTCAGGGCTCGGATCGAATTTAAGACACAAAAAAAGTCGGTTTAGTCGATTAAAAGTACAAGAAAAAGTCGTTTATTTAATTCAGTGTTGCAACAAAAATTTAATCTTGTAACTGTAATAATTATTGTCCATGTTTTTTTAAAGTTATTAAGGTAAAATATTTTTTAAATAAAGAAACTTAAAATTCATTTTTTAAAAATATTACATTTTAAAATAATAAATATTAAATTTTTAATTTAATATTTAATTCAATAATATTTTTAAATATTAAATTTAAAATATTACAATTAAAACATTTTCAAACAATTGAATTTTTCGTAAAATCTTTTTAAAATAATTGAAATTTGATATAATTTTTTTAAAACAATTGAATTTTGGTAAAATTGTTTAAAAATAATTAAAATTTGCGAAAATCTTTTAAAAATAATTAAATTTTTGAAATATATAAAATAATCAAATTTTTGAAGAATTTTAATTATAAATATAAACATGATATTTTCGAAATTTTAATAAGAATCTAAAGAAGTAAATTTAAAAAAAATTTAATTCACTTTGTTATCTTAATAACCAAAATTCTTTTGAAATTGGTTAAATTTTTTAATATAATATATTTAATTGATTATTAAAAATAATGTATTTATTGATGAATTTTAGTTAAAAACACTAATACAAATTGAATTTTTAAGCAATTACAAATGATTGCAGAAATTTAATTATTTTCAAAAATAGTAAAATTCTTATCACAAAATTCAATTATTTTCTAAAATTTGGCAAAATTTTAATTATTTTCAAAAATTTTCCTCAATTCAATGATTCTTAATATCTACTACTTTAATAAAAAAAAACCACAAAAGAATTCATTCAATTAGTTAAAAAAAATTTTAATAAAATTTTACGAAAACATTTCATTATTTTCATTTAAATATTAAAACTCATAGCATATTTTCAATTATTTTTATTACAATTTTAATGTAATTCCTTGAAAAATGTAATTATTCTTAAAAATTATATTAAAATTTATCAAAGTAATTCAATTATTTTAAAAATCTTTGCTACAGTTTATTTATTTATTACAATTTATTTATTTATTTATTATATAGGATTATTTTAAATACAGTTTTAATTAAATTTCTTCAAAAAATTAAATTGTTTTCAAAAATTTTAATGAAATTCTTTGTAACAAATTCAATTTTTTCAAACTAATTTTAATAAAATTCTTCATAGAAATTTAATTAATTTCAAAAATTTTGTCAAAGTTCAATTATTTTCAATGTCTACTATTTCAATAAAATTTTACAAAAGAATTCAATTATATAAAAAGAAATTTTAATAAAATTCGTCTCAAGAATTCAATTATTTTCAAAAATAATATAATTTTTCACAGAAATTCAATTATGTTAAAAAATTTACCAAAATTCTCGTCAAAATTTCAATTATCTTTATAAATAATAAAATTCTCCGAAATTCAATTATTTTCAAAAATTTTAATAAAATTCTTGGCAGAATTTCAATTATTTTTAATACAATTTTCATCAAATTTCTCGAAAAATGAAATTATTCTTAAATATTTTATTAAATTATCTTTATAAATAATAACATTTTTCTCCGAAATTCAATTATTTTCAAAAATTATAATAAAATTCTTGACAGAATTTTAATTACTTTTAATACAATTTTCATCAAATTTCTCGAAAAATGAAATTATTCTTAAAAATTTTATTAAAATTTGTCAAGAGAATTCAATTATGTAAAAAATTTTTTGATAAAATTCTTTATAAAAATTCAATTTTAAGAAACATTCAATTTAATAAAATATTTATTTTTGTATTTAAATAATTAAATTCTTGTAGAATTTTCTAGTAAATATTAATTTAAAAATGAATTTCAGTTAAAATTTTAGATTATAATTGAATATAGGGAGCATTATAGCGTGGATTTTTAAAAATAATTGAATTTTAAAAACGCTTCAAATTAATATCTTTGAAAATTTGAACTTTTCATACTATTAATTAAGAATTCTGTAGAATTAATTTTTTCAAAAAGTTTAGTGGAATTTTTTTTTAATTATTTGAAGTTTTTAATTTCTAATATATTTAATTGAAGAATGTCCAGAATAATCGAAATTTCGTAAAATTAAATTGTAAACAAAAGGATTTGAAAACTCTGAATGAACGTTTTGAAAAATTATTTTAAAAAATTTATTTATAGAAGAATTTGAGTTGAAAATTCTAGTAATGAATAATCGAAATAATGAAAATAATTTTTGAAGAAGTTACAGTAACAATTTATCAAGTTTTAATTATTATATAAAACATGAAGAAAGCGATGACTCCGAGTCGAAGACGCGGAGTGATCGGTGTCTTCATGTTTTAAAATAATATTCTTATATGCTATTGAATTTGAAATTTTTGAAAATCTTAATTCCTGGGGCAAAATAAATGTAATAGAATATTTTTTTGTGTATCTAATAATTTTTAGAGTAAATTAAAATATTCTTTAGGGTCAGGGAAAAAGACAAAATTTTGTCAGGAAATCAGGAAAAATCAGGGAAATAGAAAATTAAATTTTTGTAGCAACTCTGTTAATATATTTATGACTATTGTTTATCAATCAACGAAAATAAATTTCTTGTTATCTTAAGTGTATCATTTCAACATTGCAGACTAATAAATTGTTTATTTATCTTTTTATAACAGATTTGGAATTAGGTGAATTATTACACGACGAATTATTTGGCCTCTTTGAAGCCATGTCAGCTATAGAGATGATGGATCCGAAAATGGATGCTGGGATGTTGTGTAATAGAGGAAATAACAAGCCTTACACATTTAATCAAGCAGTAGATTCAGGAGCTATAAAATTGGACAATTTTGAAGTTACAGACGTGATAGCCATAATTGATTCAACGTATGCGTGCATAGTTTCATGGCTCGAGGGCCACAGCTTAGCACAAACTGTTTTTACAAACTTATATTTGCATCAACCTAGCCAAATTCAAGACAAGTCTTTGAAAACATTTTGTTATGCTGTTTATAAAATTATTGAAATCATTAAAGATTGTATTACACGAGCTCTAGTCTTCGAGGAAGAGGATTTTCAAAGTTTTATGTATGATTATCGACTTCAGCAGGATATTACAGAGCAAAAAACAGTTGCCATGTTAAGAGAAGTTGAAGAAGAATTGCACAGAAAAAGTCGTATAAAACCAACGACCGAGGAAAAAGAGAAAGAGGTAATTAGTTCAAGTTTTTTCATATTTTTCCGATGGCACAACTTTACTTTAAATTCGCTAATACTAAAAGTAAAAAAACTATTCTCAAAAATTGTAATCAAATTCTTTAAAAAATAATTCAATTATTTTCAAAAAATATTCAAAATTTAATTATTTTCAATATCTAGTATTTTCATAAAATTTCGCAAATGAATTCAATTATTTAAAACAAAATTGATAAAATGCATCAAAAATTCAATTGCTTTCATAAATAGAAAAATTTCCACAGGAATTCAATTAATTTAGAATAGCATTTTCAAAAAAAATTTCGAAAAAATCAATTATTTAACAAAATTTTTCACCATAATTCAAATACTTTCATTAATAATATTTTTCATAAAAATTCAATTTTTTAAAAAAATTTTTGATAAATTTCTTGGAAATTCAATTATTTTAAAAAATGCTTATAAAATCGTTCGCAAGAATTCAATTTATTATTTTAATAAATAATAAAAGGCTTTTTAGGACTTTAATTATTTTCAAAAAAATTTAATAAATTACCACCCAGACATGCAATTATTGTTAAAAATTTTAATAGAATTCTTTGTAAAATTTAATTATTTTTAAAAACTTTTTGAAATTCAATTATCTATGTTTTTTGTAGATATATGGATATACTTTTACTCCCTAAAATATTTTTCAAAAATTTTTTTATTTTAGAAATAAGGCGAGATTAACTGAAATTTTCTTTTAGCTATTACTCGGAAACGAATAAAGATAACTGAGTAATTTTTTTTTAAATTAAAGGTAAAATTCTATATTTTGTTGATTAATTCAAAAACGGTTATTATAAAATTAAAATTTACAATTGAGTCGTTTTCTAGAAAAATCACTTAAATCGACGTTTTTTACGAAAAAATTGAATTAAAGATTCAGAAACGAATTATTAATATAATTTACATATTAATTATTTCCTTCATTTTTCTCAGTTCAAAGGCATTATTAACGAACACTTTAAAGAAAAAATGGCCCGGTAAAAAATATTTAGCTATTTTAAAAATATTAATTTATAACAAATGACTTAAGTGGTTTTTCCGTCGAACGACTAAAAATGAATGGAACAAAACTAAGTATTTTTATGAAAGAACACTTTAATCTTAATATATTAAGACATTTATTATTCTAAGAAGTCATGACATATTTTATAGTAATATTTAATTAAATATTAGAAAAATTACTCGCTTTCGTAATCATCCACATCACAAATTTCTTTAGTTTGACAATTTTTAAAAATATATTTCTTCAGAAATACAGAAAGTAAAATATTGAAGACTATATAAAAAGCTATCGTTACATAGAAGTAAAAATATAAATAGTAATCAATAAACATTAATAAAATTGAAGTATAAAATAAATTATTATTTTACTTTGAAACAGTACAACGATGGACTAGCTCTTTACGCAAGGATGCGATTTACGAAAATGTTTTATCAAACGTTAAGTTTCTTGGGAAAAAGAGATCAACTTCATTCAAATTTAACCGATTGTCAAAGACTCCTTTCGAACTGCACCGATATGATTCAAGTTATGATACGAACTGTAAATAGTGGATCCAAGGCAGATGAAATAAGTATTTAACTTGTATTACTTAAAATTTTTTTTTAAATCCTATATAGTTATTATTTTAAGTTTCTAGATACAGTTGATATTTCTGATAATATATTGTTAACTTTATTTTACTTATTTCCTAAAATTGAAAAATTTTCTTTTTGTTTCAGCCGATCATCCAACTATTATGGGATTTGATCCCATGATAAACCAAAGATTGCTTCCTCCAACTTTTCCAAGGTATACCAAAATAAAATCACGAGTCGAGGCCTTAGAATATATGGACGAATTATTAAATCGATTAAAAATGGTCATCAAAATTACTGGTTATACCAACTTTCATAGTGCTTTAGTAAGTCAATTTAAAAAAATATATTATTTTTTAGGAAATGGCAACCCTTTAAACTCAACGTTTCGATTTTCACTAAAAAAAGAACTATGGCTTTTTAGCCATGAAAAAAGAGATTAAATACGTACTTTTCATTTTTGTATAATTGCCCAAGTTTACGAAATTTTGGTTTTTTAAAAACAGATCTATTTTCAGTAGCTTCTAAGTCTGAAATTATTGAATTTAGAAATAAGTTATCAAAGAATGAAAATTTTAGTTTTCTTTCAACTTTTAAAAAATGTAAAAAAATTATTTTATTTTTTATTAAAAAAATTCATTTATTTTTGCACTGGAACCTGTACAGGATCCCTGTCTCAATTTTCTGCAGGGGTACCTGATACGTACCTGTGTTAGGTTTTTGTCAAGGATTCTTAAATAAATTGTATATGAACTTCAAAGGATCCTTTAAGGTTCCTGTACATGGATTTTCAGGTGGAGTCAAGTCTACCATATACATTCCTTGCAATTAATATAATTTTTCGATTCTTCTTTTAAAATTTAATTGAATTAAAAGACGTATAATTTTTTTAATTAAATTGCATTTTGTTTTTAGGATTTCTTTTTAGAATTTTCACGTCACAGTCCTTGTATATTATCCAGATCATTGTTGCAAATTGTTTATTTGCCATCAACAAGCCGAGTGTTTGGGTTACAAAGCTTTAATGACGTACTGAGGGATGCGGCCAGAAATTTTATTGCTCCTCCTGCTCTTATGCCTAAAAATGTATTGCTTCAAAATCATCAAGCAAAAGAGTGTGTCGATACGTTTTTAAATCATTGTGCCAATTTATTTGGAAATTTGTTACAACTAAGTGGTCATAACAGAGCAAGACAAAGAGATAAATTAGCCCATTTATTAGATGACTTTGCTACCCTGCAAGATGAGGTTTGTAAAATTATTTCTTTTTAATTATTACTAATTATTTCTTATATTTTTCGTAAGTTATTATGATTAAGAAAAGAATCATTTTGGACAAATGTTTTCTATTATTATAATAAAGTATGAATATTTTTTATTTGATTCAAATTATAAAGTATAAGTATCAGAGAATTATAATAAATGAACATTTATTTTCATTTCACTTTGTTTACAATATTAAAGTATAAAACCACAGAAAGTAATTATAATAAACTTATATTATAAGAGATTAATATTATTAAATTAAATAAATATAAAATTTTAAAACATTCGATTTTAAAAGAAAATTTTGGCTTCATTGAAATTAAAATTTTTAATTCTTTTACAAAAATTAATATATAATTCCTCTCTGAGTAAAAAAATATTAAAACCATAAAAAAATACTCATTCTGTTCGCGAGATATCATTATAAACGTCCAAGCATTTTCAGTCAAAAACCGTACAAAATTAACTAATTCAATGCATTTGTCCGAAAATTGTTTTTTTTTGAGTTTCTCGAAGTTTTTTTTTGGAAAAGAAAGAGAAGTGATAATTTAATATTGTTTGTATGAATATTTTTTTAAGTGAAATGATCTTAAAACATAAAATAATTTTATTGTATAGCTAGTAAGTTGTATTTAAATTATTATTTTAGGCTGAAAGAGTTGACGGGTACATGCATACTTTATCCATGAAAAGCGATACACCAAGGCCACATTTAGCATATTTTAGTACCTGGATTTTATATCACACGTTACGAGTAATGGTCATGTATTTATTAAGTGGCTTTGAACTTGAATTGTACTCTGTCCACGAGTATCATTATATTTTTTGGTACCTGTATGAATTTTTATATGGTTGGCTAGTCTCAGCAATTACAAGAGCAGATTCATTTTTAATGGAGCAAGATATTCAAAATGAAGCACATAAAGGAAGAGGAAGCAGGAAGAGTGCAAAAAATAAAAGAAAAAAAGTCGCTCCTAGACCTTACAGTTTAGAAATTTTAATGTACCAGGCAATGCAAAATATTTGTGGAGGTTATTATAAGGTAATGTTTTTATTACATATTTATTATTTTTTTACGAATGAAGAAGTAAATTTTAATTTGTTTTTAAAAAATCGCTTTTTATTTCAATTTTTATAGATATGTATACTGTTCTCTAAAGAATTAGTTAAAATTAATTAATTTGATAGTAAAAAATCAGTCACTGATTCAAATATAGTATGTGAATAAATAAATTTTAAAAAAATTATCGAATTAATAGAAATTTCGTGAAATTCAACTGAAAATAATAAAATTTATTAAAGAATTTCATTAAAAACTTTTTAACAAATCGAATTCTCAAAGTATTTTAATTTAATAATTGATAAATAATTGAATGTTATAAAGAGTCTCATTCTAATGTATTCATGTTTTTTAGTGCGAAGATTAATAATTAAAATTTTTATTAGTGAATTCAAAAAAAGATACACACTTAAATTTTTTTAATAAAATTGAATTTTCGCAAAGTTTTTTTGAAAATTCTGAAAAAAAAGATTTTTGAAAATTTTCTATTCTGTTGTTTCAAGATAATTGAATTTTTATAAACAAATAATTGAAAATTTTTGAAATTTCTTTACATTTTATTAAAAATAATTAACTTCTTTTATAGAACTTTATTTAAATTTTTCGAAAATAATCAAGGGAAGTTAGTGACCGTAATTATAATTTTATTTTTAAAAATTTCTTCTCAATATATTTAATTATTTTCATAATTAGTAAAACTCATTGCAGAATTTCAATTATTTTTAATACAAATTTTAATCGAATTCGTCGAAATATATAATTATTCTTAAAAATTATATTAAAATTCGTGGAAAGAATTCAATTATTTCTAGAAACTGAAAAAAATCTTCTCAAGAATTCAATTATTTCTATAAATAGCAAAATTCTTTAGATTTTCTAAATTCTTTCGAATATTATTTTTAAAAAAAATTCTTCACAAGAATTCAATTATTTTCATAAATTTTCATAAAATTCTAAACAACAATTCAATTATTTTCAAAAGTATTAAGATTCTACTCAGAAATTCAATTATGTTTAAAAATTTTTTTAAATTCTTCTCAAAATTTCAATTATTTTTATAAATAATTAAATTGTTCTCCACAATTCAATTATTTTCAAAAAATTTAATAAAATTCTACGCAAACATTTAATTATTTTTATAAATACACGGAAAAGTTTTCGGGCGAGCTGCGTTCTCCGCGCGTAGAGGTTTCCTAAAAGAGAGAAGGCATATCGCCTTGTAAATGGGTGAGCTTCTCTCTCTACTGGGAACGCTGCTCACCCAGTGTTGGACGAGCTGCGCTGAAAGTCAGTGGTAGATACACGACTGGTAGAGCAGCTCGTCCAATGCTGGCCTGCTGCGCTATCTTTTTGCGACTATTGCTGCACCAAAGTGAAGTTGCGCAGCGTTACTAGAGCAAATAGAGTTGCTCGCCCCAAAACTTTTCCGTGTATGTAATAACATTCTTTGAAAAGGATTCAATTACTTTTATATATACAGTAAAATTCTTTGCAGAATTTCAATTAGTATAAATACATTTTAATAAAATTGAATTAATGAAATTTTCAATTATAAATGAACAGATAAGATTATTTTTAAAAATTGAAAAAACTCTTTGTTTAATTCAATTATTTTCCAAATTTTTAAATTAATTAATTATTAATTTAATTTAATTAATATTAATTTAATTTAATTAATATTAATTTAATTTAATTAATATTAATTTAATTTAATTAATATTAATTTAAGGTCATGTTATTCAGTGGTCACGTGTTCCCATAGTAAAGTATATGGAGCACGTGACCACTGAATAACATGACCTTAATTTAATTTAATTAATATTAATTAATTTTTTTAAGAATGTTTAATTGCGGATTTTTTTTTTTTTGAAATTATTTCAAGTTTTTATTTTCTAATTTATTAATTGAAGAATTTACGAATAATTGGAATTTTGTTAAATTGAATTGTAAACAAATAAATTTTGAAATTCTCAAAAAACTTTTTAAAAAATTATTAAAAATAATGCATTTATACAAGAATCCTTTCTTAAAAAAGACATGGAGTGGAAAGGTCGAATGTATCGAAAAGTATCGAAGTAAAGAATGGGCAATGATCCTTTCTTAAAAAAGACATGGAGTGGAAAGGTCGAATGTATCGAAAAGTATCGAAGTAAAGAATGGGCAAGGAGAATGTAAAATCTTAAGGCCGCAGTCCCATGGCAGCGTTTTGCGTTGCGTTGTAATGAGAGAGAATGCAGCAAACGTATATTTGCGTCTTTTTCTCTCCCATTACGACGCAATGCATAACGGTGCCATGGGACTCCACCCTAATAGAAGGGTGTTTTTAAAATTGTTTGTACATGTGAAGGTGGCGCTGCAGTCGTATGTTATTTAAAAAGAGCGCGAATATATAAATTTTATTTTTGTTAAGAGAAAGTACTCATAATAAATCTTATTTTGCATTGTCAAAAAAACGTCAACATTTCAAATATAAATAAGCAAATTATTAACTGAAAAAATTTGAATATTATTATTAATGAAATAATGGACTTGGACAATGGACATATAAAAACTAGCACCGTAGACGGCCGCTTGCGGCCGTCGGAGGAGCTAGTTTTAGTTAAAAACACAAAAAAATTTAATTTTGGAAAAGTTACAAATTATTGCAGAATTTCAATTATTTTCATAAATTCTCAAAGAACTTTTTAAAAAATTATTAAAAATAATGAATTTATACAAGAATTTTAGTTTAAAACACGAAAAAAAATTTAATTTTGAAAAAGTTACAAATTATTGCTAAAATTCAATTATTTTCAAGAGTAATATTCTTCGGAAAAATTCCTTATTGTTTAAAAATAATAAAATTCTTCTTCGGGATTTAATTATTTTCACAAATAATAAAACTCATCGTAGAATTTCAATATTATTACTATTATTTTATTATTATTATTATATTATTATTATTATTACTCGGAGTTATCGATATCATCATGTTTTATAGTTATGAAAAATGTAATTTATTTGCTTTTTGTTAAAACCGTTTTTTAAAATTATTTTCGTTTTGAAATCAACTTTAAATTTTTTTTGAAGGCTTTAGTGGGCTTTCGACTAGACGGAAAGATTCCTCTTCCTGAGATGCAGTTCGATTCTGAAAGAGTGCGATACGAACACAGATTATTGCCATTTTCGTCGTTTCTCACACCACCTCCAGTTCATTATCAAGAATTTTTAGACATGACGAACGCACAAATAGAGAAAAGTAAAAATGTAAGTACTTTACAAAATTGGGAGATATGATACATATTTATTTAGAAACTATAAAAATATTTTTTTTCAGTCTCTTTATGATAGGTTCACTAGTGAAAATCAGTACTTAGCGGGTTGTCGTCACTTTCATCATTCGAGAAATATGCTGGAAAAAGCCTTAAGTCTCTATCCTGCGAATGCGAATACAGTTAATGAGGTAATTTATATTTTAGACGTATTAATATTTAATTTAATTATTTTGACTAAAGTGATGAAAAAATTTATTAGTATGCGATTATATTAAATAATTAATTTATAATTTAATGGATATATAAAATATTTATAAGCTATTTTAAATTTTAGATAAGAGATTTATTGAAAGTAGCCAAAACGAACTTCATTGTCCTCAAACTTCTGGCAGACGGACACAAAAAAGACTCAAAAGATCCACCAGTATTTGATTTCTCATGTCATCAACACTTCCCACTAATAAAATTAACATAAACTAACAATTGTGAAGTATAGTTTATTACAACATGAAAATATTTATTAAATTTAATGTAAAATTTAATTTTCAGAGCAATCGTTTTTATTAAATGTACATTCGTCAATTATTTAACTACCAATGTGAATATATATAGTTAATTGTTTTCCTTATAATTTAAAATTCTATGAGAATTGACAAACTATTTATAAAATATTTTTTTTGTGTTACGAATTTGAAAATCTTATAAATTTACCTGTGAGTAAAAATGTCTCCATATTATAGATGATTTCCCATTTATTAGTAAATATTTTTAAACTAGACGATTCATGTTATTATTAAAATTATGCGGGCATGCGTTTAAATGTATTTTCAATAATACTAAATATGATTCATTTGATTTATCATTAGCTTTCATTTTTAAGATGCATACGCTAATTTGCTGAAAAAAATTGAGAGAAATCTTTAATTAAATATAATCCTGGAAACGTCTTCTGTTTTTTTAAAGATTGTCATGAATAGTGTATCATATGTAACTGAAAAAACTGCATTAAGCATTTTGTAGATATAGAATAAAATGTATTTTGTAGAAATATTATATAAAATTAGTTGCATAAATTAAAAAAGTAAATTTTTATGTTCCAGTTTTTTAATTTCATTTGATACTTCATCTTGAAATGAAAATGTACTTCATGTGTTTTCAAATTTGATGCTAATAATTATGTTAAACTTATATAGTTATCGAAAATTAATAAATGATAAACTTCCATAATTTAGAAATTATTTATTCATCTAAACAAATTTTATTTGAAAAATAAAAATTTTATAAAAAATAATCAATTAATTGTAAAACAACAATTTATAAAGAGAGGAAGTATAAAATAAATGATGCTGGGTATATAAATGCAACTAAACAAAGTAAAAATTAAATATTGTCTAAGTTTTCAATATTGCATTAATAATTCATTATTATTATAAATTATAATGTTAAATTAAATTAATATTAAATACTAAATTCATTTTAAATGCAGATATAATAATAATTATTATTAATCTGTATTCGTATTATAGTTTATGAAACATTCCAAATTGTAAAGTTAAGACTTAATTTATTATTGATTCAATTAATAATGTTAATTTTTATTAATTCACATAACCTATTATGACTAAATTGAAATATAATTAATTAATAAAAATTATTTAACAGTTTATTCTGATTTATTGATAATATTGGTAATTGAATTTTATTATTTTACAGTTGCTCTTTATATAGACAGTTGAATCCAGAAATATGTAAGTCGGTATTCGGTAGTCGCAGTCGTTAGGGCAGTTAGTTTAGGCACTAGGTTAGGTCATGCGTCGGGGTTCGATCCCCGTAGGGTCCAAATTTTAATTTAATTCCGGGAATTAGTTTCCAGTTGTTCCGTATGTAAACAAACTGATATTAATTAATAAAATATATTTTTTAAAATTAATTTGTTGCAACTTTTTGCATATTGTTTAAATAAATAAAACAGAAGTGGCTTAAAAATATGGTCAAAAATGAGATACAAATGGTCTCAAATAGTCACCAATTATGGGCGGGGTCAACAAAGAGGAGGGGATAGTAGCAAACTTGTGACCACTTTAAACTTCCTCCTGATCAGTTGTGATAGATTTCTGACGAGATCCATCCAGAATCGTAAGAAAACTGGATTAAAGTGGTCAGGCGGCCTGACCATTTGTCTGACCATTCCTGATTTTATTTTTAGTAGGGCTAGTATCTTACATAAGATCTCAACCTGAGTTGTTGAATCTTACTGAGGATCCTGAGGATTATAAGGAGGAATTAGATAAATCAAGAGATCTTTTAGCACTTGAAGAGGAGGTTCAAGAGGATATTTTCCAACGAGCACTAGGACCAGGAGTACCATCAGGTAGTACCTCTGCTGGACTTACTCAACAAATCAGCCAGACTACACATGCTCCTACTAATGCACCAAGGGCAAATTCTACGCTTTTGCCCATTGTCAGTGACACCTACGTATTAGAGAGCATGAGAAAGTGGAATTGTTGCTTCGATGGAAAGGATCCCTATGCATTCTTTGAACGCGTGGAGGAACTTCAGGCGGCATATGGTTTCACCGATCTTCAACTACTGCGAGGATTCCCTGAATTATTAAGAGGGGATGCCCTCTTGTGGTAGCGTAACGAAATCAGGTCAATTAAGTCTCTTGAACAATTGACACTGTCTCTAAGGCGGTATTACTTATCACCGGGGGAATTAAGGAATTCGGAGTTGCAGATAGCCAACAAACATCAAGCTAAGGGTGAAAATATCAGGAGTTTTGTAAATTGCATTAGGACTTTAATGAGGAGACATGGAGCCTACAATTTGATCAGAGAACTCGACATGATTTATTGGAATATGCAACCAGTGTTCCGTCTGCACATTAGGAGAGAAGAGATTGATAGTGTAAGCACGTTAATACAACGAGCTGAGGAAATCTCGGAAACTCTTAATGCAATCAAACAAAGAAGAGCATGGTCATGGTGCAAAGAAGTCAGCTGTAGAAGTTGCTGAGGTACACGAACCTTATAACCCCAAGACTCACTGTTGGAGATATGGGGTGAAAGGTCATCGTCGTCCTTTTCGCAGAAACAGACCTAAGAAGTTCTGTTCATATTGTGGAAAAGAGGGAATTTTAACAAAGGATTGCCCTTGCCATCCTCCGGGAAACGGACGGAAGGTCGAACAAAAGGAGTAAGTTCGACCTCATCTCCTTCCGGACTTCAGAATTTTTATCAATTGTAGCTGGGAAAATGTAACTTTTCAAGCACTCATCGACAAAGGGAGCAGCTAGCTCTTTCATCGACATGCATACAGCAAGAAGATTGGCTGCCCTAGGAGGAGTTACACAACTAGAAGACATCGTCGTTGCTCTAGCGAATGGATAAAGATTGGAGGTCAAGACCAGCTTTTTAATGAAAATATCTGTGGGAAAAACAAAAATTAAACATAAATTTTTTTTTATCCCACATGCACAAAAACGGCGCTTTCTGATAGCAGTCGACAGGGAGGAAAGTCATTCATTTCTTCGATCGTATGAAAATGGCGGCCGTGTTCTCCCAAGGGCAAGAAAATTAGCTGTTCACATGCATTTTTCTTGCCCAAGGGAGAAGACGGCCGCCATTTTCATACAAATCGAACAAGTGAATGACTTTTACTCCCTGTCGTCTGCTAACTGAAATCGCCGCTTTTGTGCATTAGGAATAAAAAATATCGTAAGTAACACGAGAATAAAGGCAGCCAATTTCTTTACGATGATTTTTGTGACACTCGTTCCGGTCTCGGGGCGCCTACGGCGCCCTCGACCTCCACTCGTGTCACAAAAATCACCGTAAAGAAATGGCTGCCTTTCTCCTCTTGTTGCTTAATATACTATGTTTTACCGAATTTATCTCATCCTATGCTTATTGGGACTGATCTTCTTAATAAATTAAATTTTTCTTTAAATTTAAACAATAAGAACATTAAATTGTTTAAAAATTCGTTCAAAATAGACATCTGTGAAGTAGGTCAAGTTGGTCTTACTATGACTCTAGACAAAGACCAAGAAGAAAGTTTGAACGATTTACTAGATAAAGAAAAATTGTTATTTAAAGAAATTAAGGGTTGTACACCTTTATTAAAACATGAAATAAGATTGGAAGATTCAACTCCGATAAAACAACGTTATCAACCGAGAAATCCAGTCACTCAGGAACTCATGAGAGAAGAAGCTCTGCAGGTGTTAAAACAAGGAGTCATCAGGAAATCTCGAGGCGCGTGGAGCTCACCTATCGTCCTAATTAAAAGAAAAAATGGTAAATTAAGATTTTGCATTGATTTTAGAAGATTAAACAAAGTAACAAAGAAAGATGCGTACCCAATTCCTCGAATTAATAGTATACTAGATCAGTTAAAAGGAGCTAGATACTTGTCAACACTAGATTTGAAAAATGGTTATTGGCAAGTACAATTAACCGAAGAGAGTGTACCTCTCACAGCATTCACCGTACCTGGTTTAGGATTGTTCGAGTTTGTTGTAATGCCGTTTGGTCTTCACTCAGCACCTGCAACGTTTCAACGATTGATTGATTCAGTTATACCTCCAGAATTAGCACCAAAAGTTTTCTCTTATCTGGATGACATCGTTGTAACATCAGTGACCTTCGAAGAACATCTTCAACTCCTACAAGAAGTTTTCAATAGATTACGTGATGCTAAATTAATACCTAATTGGGAAAAATGTTACTTTGCTAGAAAACAACTTACCTATCTTGGACATCTCGTGGACGAACAAGGACTTCACCCGGATCCTGAGAAAGTAAACGCCATCTTGAATATTCAACCTCCTACTTGTTTGAAAGAACTAAGATCTTTTATCGGTATGATATCTTGGTACCGTCGTTTTGTGAAAAATATTTCACAACTTACAACTCCACTAATTCACCTTTTAAAAAAGGATACGAAATGGCATTGGGGAGAGTTAGAACAATCAGCTTTTGACAACATTAAGAAGAAATTTACTGAATCACCAGTGTTATCCTGCCCGGATTGGTCACAGTTATTTTATTTACAAACTGATGCTAGTTTGGAAGGTTTAGGGGTAGTTTTAACACAACATAGGGAGGATTCTGAAGTTGTCATAGCCTATGCGAGTCGTTCTTTGAAGCCTGCAGAGAAAAACTATTTAGCTTCTGAATTGGAATGCCTTGCTGTTAAATGGGGCATTGGGAAGATGCGAGATTATTTAGAAGGATATCACCTTGTGGTTATCACTGATTATCAAGCTCTTAAATGGCTTAATAGCATTGTAACGCCCTCTGGACGCCTAGCACGCTGGATAATGGAACTCTCACAATGGGACTTCGAAGTTCAATACAAGAAAGGTATTGAAAATAGACTACCAAGTTTTTTATCTCGTCAACCGTTACCACTTGCTGAGATTGTTGCTAAACCATCTTGCCCTTGGTATTTACGTCAATGGAAATTAACAGAAGAACATCCTGAACGGAATCCAGATTTGAGAATTGAAAATGGGAAATTATATCATCATGTTTTACACACGTTGGATTATAAAGAATCGCCCTACGAAGAACAATGAAAGCTGTGCATACCTAAGGAGGAGAGATCTTTGATTCTTTATAAAGTACATGACGAACCAATTTCAGGACATCTTGGAGTAGCGAAAACACTCGCTCGTTTAGGAGAATTTTTCTTTTGGCCCGGCATGTTAAGAGATGGAACGGAATACGTGAGAAATTGTGTAAACCATTCAACAAAAGTTCAACATCCATG